AGACCCCATAGTAGTTCCCTTTTGGGATTCCCTAATCGGATTCTAAATATGAACCCCCAAAAAGGAACTACTTTAGGGCCTATGGGTAGTAACAGGGAGCAGCTTTCCCTTGGTGTTCTTCTGGTTGGCCCTTAGGACTTTAACTTTTTGGGCTTCTATATGAACCATAGTAAGGAGACTAAAAGTTTAACTTTTTGGAGGGGTTCAGAAGTCAGCCAAGTTCCGGGACCCATACCTTCGCAAAAAGGCAGATACCCCAGCTGTCCTTGCCGCCAAGGGTATACCCCGAAGACGGCAGATCGGCGATGTTAGGGCTTATAACCCTAACCTCTCAGGTACCTACTATTTAGGGTACTAGAGCCCCCTGTATGTCCCTAAACCCTAAACCCTAAACCCTAAACCCAAATGAACCGCAAAGGTCCTTGCGACAGAGCCCCCTAGGGCCCTATATATAGTAGGTACCTGTAGGGTTAGGGTAAGGTTCAGGTTTCTCACTTTAGAGCTTCGGGTTTCGTCGGTTTGAGGTTGAGGCTCGAGGATTTAGGGTTCAGGATGTAGGGTTTAGGCTTTAGGGCTTTAGGGGTGTAGGGCCGTATAGGGTTTAGGGTTTAGGGTTTAGGGTTCAGGATGTAGGGTTTAGGCTTTAGGGCTTTAGGGGTGTAAGGCCGTAAAGGGTTTAGGGTTTGCTGACTCATTTACTGAATACTGCAAGAGTCTGGACGTATAGCCGGAGCCGGACGCTTGGCACTTGGCAAGATGCTATACAAAAGAGTACCACCATGGGTTACACTCGATACTGCCCGCACAGAATTGCCCTGAACACCAAAACCCCAAAGCCTAAAACCCCGAGCCCTAAAGCCCCTGAGCCCTAAACTTAGGGTTTAGGGTTTAGGGTTTAGGGTTTAGGGTTTAGGGTGCCCTAAACCCTACTACTGAGCTCAGGAGAAGCGATCCGACTTGGTCGTCGGCCTGCTGGAAGTTTTCGAAGCCGATGGTCAGATGCAACTCGTTCCGGCGCACTTCTCCATAGGCGCCTCAGGGGTGTGGGGTGTTAGGGCTTAATTAGGGCTTAGATGGTTCAGGGTCTATCGGATTAAGTATCGGATTAAGGGCTATACAAGGCTTAGGGTTGCAGGGTTTAGGTTTTAGAGTTAAGGACTTTGGAGATTATAGGGATCATCAAGGTTTGGAGTTTAGGGGTTTAGGGTTTAGGCTTGAGGACGAGGTTTAGGGTTGTAGGCTTAATAAGGATTAAAGTTGAGGGGTTCGGGGTTTAGATTCGTTGGGGGGGTTTTAACAAGGATAAGGTTTTCAATTTAGGCCCAGAGACCTGTTACCCCAAGTAAAGCCTGCTTCAGACATTACTGACTTCGGGAGACCCGTAGCTACACCCTAAACCCTAAACCCTAAACCCAAACCCCTAAACCCAAACCCCTAAACCCTAAACCCTAAACCCTAAACCGTTACCAATGCAGGTGGCAGTTTCTACCGGCTTCGTGGGCTTGGAGATATACGGGGGCATTTGGTACCTTTTAACCTACCATCACCCCCGTTTTTGTATAGGTTCTTATTATGAACCCCAATATGGGATTTATAGGGACCCTTAATATGGGATTTATAGGGACCCTACCAAAAAAAGTAGGTTCTGGTAGGTTAAGGTATAGCTGCAACACTTCAGGACCGCGGGGTGTGCCAAGCATTGGCTTGCAAATGTCGGGCTTGTCTTGGTGATCGTTGGTAAGGCCTAAACCCTAAACCCTAAACCCCTAGGGCAGTTTGGTAAGAGGTTACGATTCTTCTGGAAACGAAGCCCGCAAGCCTCATAAACTCCAGGACTTCGACCCAGTAGCCTTTGCGCATCTCCCTGTGGATCCAAACGGTTTAGGGTTTAGGGTTTTCGAATTCTTATTTGGGTATCCAGTTCCCATAGAAGTAAGAACCAGGTTTTTCTAGACAAACTTTGGGTCCTTATTTCGGGTATCCAGAACCATAAATAAGGACTACTTGGACCCTTATGGCCTGCACCACGACAGGTATCAGTGCATGCGGTCAAGCCAAACGCTGGGATGTCTCCTTGCACTTGTTCGACCGCATGAAGGCAGCCCGGCGCCAAAGCTGCCTGCGCTCTGAAATGAAAGGATCCTCAGTGCCCAGTTTCTGCGAAGTAAGATTTGACATAACTACTGGGTTTGTGCAAGTAATGAATAATCCCTGTGCAGGCACTTAGCACCCTTTGTCAAATAAGTTTCTTACCTCAGAGACCCTAAACCTCATAATTAATAGGCAAAATGAGAACAGGCACCACAGCCAATTCGAGAAAATCGACACAGGCAGGCATTCGCAGGGTGAAGCCCCCAACCCCAAACCTTAACTTCAAGCTCCAATCCCAAAGCCCCGAAAGCTGGAGAGAAAACCAGCAGACAAGGCCTCGAGCCTTCACATAGTCTTTAGGGGTTTAGGGTTCAGGGTTTAGGGTTTTGCAAGCACGGAGATACACTTTGTGTCATTTGAATCCGTCGATAAAAGCCGTCTGCAGTGAAGTCGAAGCAACACAGTGCGGTGCCGAGGCGTCCAAGCTGTCGCCAGATGTGATCAGCCGTTTGGCTCTCGATGGTTGGGGTTGGGGGGTTGTAGAAATACCCCTATGCTTCCAAGGGGCCCTCTAGTTAGGGCCCTAGACCCCTTAAGGACCCAATATTAAGGTTTCTAAGGTCCCTGGAAGCGTAGAGATACAGCGGATAAGGTTCCAGAACCCAAAAAACCGAAGCAGTCAGGCCCCGGTCTCGGTTGGTTAGTGTAAAACAGGGCCCAACTGATTGCCTATACTATTTTGGGGGTTGCTTCTTATAATTATAGCATAATTGGCCCCAATACCCTAGTCTAATCACTCAGGCCCCTGTACTAAACCCTCATAGTAGCTCTTATACTAACCCTTATAGAACCCTTTAAAGACCCCTATAAAGGAACTAATTATTAAGGCCCCTAAACCCTAAACCCCTAAGGCCACTATATTAGAGGATCTAGGGTTGCCGGGTTCAATTCGGGGTTTTGGGATTTGGTTTGGGGTTACCGGATATCGGGCTGACCCATAGTCTCCATCGTAATTCCTGTGTTGGTGGATTTCTAAAAAGGTTATAGGACCCCAGATGTCAAGGTGGCTAAACCCCCAAAAAGAGAAGCACAATAGAGACCATAGGCAGGGCTTCCCTGTTACTCTTATTTTACTTGCAGTTCAGCAGCCATGACCCCTTAATTATTAGTGTGTAGAACCCATGCAAGCTATAGGAAATTCGAGTCCGAGGTTGGGTTTAGTAAATCCTAAACCCCTAAACCCCTAAACCCCTAAACCCCCCTAAACCCTAAACCCTAAACCCTAAACCCCTAAACCCTAAACCCCTAACCCCTAAACCCCTAAACCCTAGGTTATCGGATTCCTAGGGTTCGCGACGTCGCCGCCCGAAACAAACTTCTTCGGAGCCGTCAGACTCCCGGACGTGCCAGAGGGAGCCCGAACCAAGGGGCCAATACCACTCCATTGGGCAACTTGCATTAGGGTTTGGGGTTCAGGGTTTTTAGGGTTCGGGGTGTAGGGTTCAGGGTTTAGGGTTTAGGGTGAAGCTGTATAGGGCCTCTTATTTTCGATTTACAGGATGGTCTCCCACACCCTTAAAGCAAGGAAGGATCCTAATCCTTACAGCCTCTGAGTAACCGATGCCAAGACAGAGACCTTGTGCAATCTTTGTGATGTCTACATATATATATATATATATCAACACATACATACATATGTATGTACATATATATAAGACTTAATCTGAAGCACATGTATGGATGTATCTATAATTATAAACATAAATATAAATAGATATATGTAGAGGGAGAGAGAGACAGAGAGACAGAGAGTGTTTACATATATATATATATATATATACGGAGAGAGAGAGACAGAGAGAGAGAGAGAGAGAGTCTTCCTAACCTGTACCGGAGCAAAGGTTACAGCGCCGCCATCAGCGCGTGCCAGCGAGACGCGCAGTGGCAGCAAGCGCTGGCATTGCTGCTGGGCTCTATAAAATGGACGTCTCCATGGGTCCCATGTACTTACGTAGCAGTAAGGTTTAGGGTTTCTATAGTAGGAAATACTATTTATGGTTTGGGAGAGTCTCCCCGGGAACAGGTACTTAGGGTTTGCTCATGACTCGCACGTGGCCCAACAAGCACAACACGGAATCGGACCGGAAACTGCAGCTTTCTTCTCTGGGTTTTCCTCACTATTTTGTAGAGAACCATAATAGTAAATAATTTTCAAAGGGCTTAAAGGACAACTTAGTTCTGCATTTGGGCAACAGGTATTTTCAGGTCCAGAGCACTATCCCAAAAAAGCAATCCCTCTCATAGACTCCTAAAGCCCGAAACTCTAGAGACCCTACAGCTCTACCCTACGAGGGAGCAGGGTTGAGGATTCCAAACCCATTGGGGTTTCGGGTTTAGGGTTTGAGCCACAGAAGTTTTGGGAAGAAGGTTCCGGCTAATGCCAACAGCCGCCTTATCACCGGATCTCATCAGCTACAACGCCACGCTCAGCCGCTTGACTGGTGGTTGTAGGCACTTGTTGCAGTCGTACGGTTTGGAGTTTAGGGTTTAAGACTTGGGGGGTGAAGATTTTGGGCAATTTAGGGTTTAGGGCTTAGCTGGCTACTTCATGCTCCCGCCCTGAGGCGGCTTCGTTCAAAGCAGCCACTGGCAGTTATCCCTACAACTCTTGGACGAGATGCAGGAATCCGAGCTTGCACCTGACGCTGTAAGCTGCACCCTGCCGACTTCTTCGGATCTAATGTCGACTTTGAAGCCCTTACGACCCAGATCCCCCTAAATCCTGAAGCCTTCTGACCTTTATAAACCCGAGCTATACGCCCCCCAAGACCTAAACACAGCAAGAGCACCCTTAACCCCATAATCCTTGTAAAGACCTCATAGATGTGTCTTAACACATGCACATATGCATTGTTTTACATTCATGTTTTGTATCATTTCGTATAGGTAGCAGGTACATGCATACGTACACACACACATACTTACATGCATGCATGCATGCATGCATGCATGCATACATACATAGTTACATGTACACATACATACATACATACATACATACATACATACATACATACATACATACATCGTTATGTACATATACAGTTGTATACATATATAGTTACATACATATACAGTTCTATACATATACATATAAACATACTTTAACTTAACTATGGATATGCATAAACTAAAACATACATAGATGCATGCATGCATGCATGCATGCATGCATGCATGCATACATACATACAGATATGTATGTATGTATGTATGTATGTATGTATGTATGTATGTATGTATGTATGTATGTGTGCATACATATGTATATATGTAAAACGAGAATTCTTACTTACAACCCGTTATGGAATCTGTATTGACTAGTTTTAAGCCCAAAGGTAGCACACGTTGATCCCTAATCCATATATATCCTAAACCCAAGATCCCAAGCGAATCTTTCGAGGCAACACTTCTGATACTTAAACCCAGACACTCCTAAACCCACAAGCCTAAACCCCCAATTAAACCTCCGAAACACTGCAGGTAACGCTTCCTAAACCCTAAATCTTTCAACCTCTAGACCCTTATAAACCCCTAAGCCACAAATCCCGGAAACGCTTTAGGTAACACTTCCTAAACCCTATAAACCCCTCAACCCCACACCCCTGAACCCTAAACCCTTTGAACCCCTCAG